GGAAGGTGTGCGCGCGCTGGGGGTCGCCCCTCCTTCGCGCGCCCCCCCGCACCTGCGCACTTTGCAAGTCCTTTGACCCCGCCCTACTGGGCTGGAGGATTCTGATTGGTGTATTACTGAGATGATCCCGCCCCACCTTTCTCCAATCCTGGAATGGACTCTATGTTCCGATGGGTTTCTTTGGTTGCGCAGATACAGTTTATCTTTAAACTGCTTGGCCGTCAAACTGCGGCATGCTGGCGGCCAGCGAGCTACAGAATCAATAAAAACGCCATCTTAATAATATTTGTCTCTTACTGAGAGTGTAAATATGCTAGACTCTAGGCATAGAGACCATAGAGGTTGAGTGCGGCTTATAAATCGGAAAGTAGCAGAAGGTTCTGGAACGTGGGTCTGCCCAACGCCAGCTGGTACTTAAAAAATTTTTTTTTATTGCTGTCAGGAAGGAAGAGGGATAGAGAGATAGAAACATCAATGATGAGAGAGAATCATTGATTGGCTGCCTCCTGCACAATGGAGCTAGAAACCCAGGCATGTGCCCTGACCAGGAATCCAACTGTGCCCTCCTGGCTCATAGGTGGATGCTCAACTACTGAGCCATGCGGGTCGGGCCCCACTGGTACTTTGATAAGTGACCTGCTGCATCCAAATCAGCTGGGAAAATTTTTAAAAAATTTATTATTTTTTTAAAATTTTAATTGTAAAGAATTGCTAAAGATTTGAAGTGGTATAAAGCAAAAAGGTTGGTCATCCCATTTCTCATTCCTGCTCTTCACGTTCATTTAAAACAAACACAAATTCTTGTGTACCTCCCCTCCCCATTTCTGACTCCTGAGATGTGGAGTGAGGGACAGGAATCTGATTTTTTTTTTTTACAAGCCACCTGGTGGTTCTTATGCATAGCCAGTTTTGGGAACACTGCCAAATGCAGTGTCCCCATTTGGCTTCATTAAGCTGTGCTGCTGTGCCACCTCTGCATAGTTAATGTAACTGGTGCATCAGTATCACACAGTGTTTTTTGGGGAAAATAGTTTTCAATAAAGATGAACACACTGTTACATAATTCATTTGCATGTGTGTGTGTTCGTTAAAGACTTAGTTCAAAGAAGTGTGGGTGGCTTTGAACTTGCCCTCAATTTGTGATATGTGTGGTTGTTCACTTTTCTCTTGTCTTAGGGATACTTTAGTTGGCAGGACAATTTGAAGGGTCCAGTGTACAAAATGAAAATGTGGGCCCCTTGTTAAAAATTTATTAAAAATTTTAAGACAGTGACAGTGGAACATTAAATTAGGCCCAGGGCCCTCATCAACACGGAGCTCTATGCGACTGTAGACTGCATGTCTAAGAGGGTGAACCTGTTAGGCTGGAAAGCTTGAGAAGTACCGTTTTTATTCCCTGAGTCCCCAGCTCTCCCACAGTGTGTCCTACCCTGTCCTGGAGGCTTCCAATTTGCCCATCTTGTTGTTGTCCCTGCTCTGCAGTGTTTACAGGTCTGTGACTCTTTTCTTCTATTTGCTCTGCAGTTGCTGATGCAAGGAATTCCCTGGGCCCCCGTTCACTCCACTGCTGACCAGCCCACCCACGTGCTGAGCCTTTCTGCAGGCCTTCTTCCCTGCCTCTGTGGGACCCTGTGACTCGGGGTCCATCCGGCCGGAGAAGAAAATCCTCTCATGCTAGTATTGCAGACCTTGGAGGGTGAGAAAAAGAGGGAACTCGTTCAGCCTTGAGACCTGTGGGCTCAGCCCCAAGGCACCAGGAACCCCTCTTCCACAGAGAACCAAGGCAACTACAGCTTTTTCTCCCCTTGGTCAGTGATTCCAAACCTTTTTGTTATCATGGCCACTTTTTGTTGTATGGATGTCCTTTTGCTTCCTGCATTTTTATTTGCCAAACTGTACCAATGAAACAACCATTTACTTTTCCCTTTCCAAATTAACAAAAGATGTCTACGACTGAGTGTACAATAAAATCAATGTCCCAATGATTCCTATGATGTTGTCAACAGCCAATCAGAGCTTCTGATCAGCATGAGATAATCAGTGTGACCACAGTGAATTGATAAAATTTCAGCAAGCAAAGATAACTGATGTTTAAATGTGCCTTTGTGGTCTTTTGGTGGGTATGTTTGATTTCTTTGGGGTATTGTGACATTGAAAACACCATGAGGATCACCAGTCTGGTCACAGTTGGCCATCTAGGAGTCTAATGGCCAGGTTGGGAACTACTTGTTCATCAAGACATGTGTTGGGTGTATTTTGGGTGGGGTTAGTAGGTAATACACATCTGAAGGAGCTGACCTCCTTCCTGGTATTGAAATAAAATTTCACCTGGAGATTATGAAGGACTGAATTCAATATTCCTTCTTGGTTCCACTGGGTCTTTAGCAACAGATTTCTTCCTGCTTCCCACCCTGTAGTGTAAAATGAGGCATCTGTTTAGATGTCATGTCCCTTCCTGGGCTGTGCTTTGTGCCAATTAGATTTTACTGGATAGGAGCGGAAAGAGGAGTTACAGTTCCTTCTTGTGGGAACAGCTTCTCAAAGATAGACCCTGTTCTGTCTTGTCACTTGCTGCTTTGTAAATATTTTCAGAATAAATAGACCTCCTGTGGGGTGCAGGTATCCTGCTGAGCACTCTGGAGAGCGCTAAACTGGACCCAATTCCCAGTCCTGGGAGCTGTGACAGTTTAATGGGGAGGAAAACCCAGCTCATAGACCACAGACTCTGAGTGCTACAATGGAGATGTTTATAGCCCTGAGGAGGGGCTCTGACTGCCTTGCTTGGGGAGGGAAGAGTCAAGGAAGGCTTCCTGGAGGATGAGAACCTAGGGGCAAGCCAGGCAGACAATTGGAGAAAGCGTATGTCAGGTGAAAGGAGCAGTAGGAGGACCCCATTTTACAGTTGAGGAAACTGCAGCCTAGATTCCAGGGCTCCTAGGGCACCATGCTGGCCCTCCAGGACGGGACGGGATTGATCTCCACACCTGCAGGTGGTCACTGGGGCCCTCTAGGTTGTAATTGCTGGGTGGTGGGTGGAAGTGACCTCCATGCCCTGATGGCCCTGACACCCTTTGGTCCTCTGTGTGGCAGGTCCGGTGTGGGTGCTGAGATGGCCAATGAGAACCACGGCAGCCCCCGGGAGGAAGCATCCTTGCTGAGTCACTCCCCGGGCACCTCCAATCAGAGCCAGCCCTCTTCTCCAAAGCCCATCCGCCTGGTGCAGGACCTCCCAGGTACTGGCAAGGGGCAGTGGCAGGGTGGCGGGGTCAGAGGGTGCCCTAGGAGGAGCCCTGACCCAGACTGGGTTCCATACTTGTTTGCAGAGGAGCTGGTACATGCGGGCTGGGAGAAGTGCTGGAGCAGGAGGGAGAACCGGCCCTACTACTTTAACAGATTCACCAACCAGTCTCTATGGGAGATGCCTGTGCTGGGCCAGCATGACGTTATTGTAAGTTCCAGCCTCGGGTAGGGGTCTCACAGCAGCCTCTGGCATCTGGATCTTCCCCAAATGTACCCTGAACACTATTATGTGCCTAGTTCTGGGGGTACTATGACAACAAAACAGTCCCATCTCATGAAACCTAGACTCTCATAGGGAAACTGGCATATAAACAGCTGACTAGAATAGTGTGTGATACTGAACTTGTACTACATGTTGGGCACTGTGCTTGGGATGCCGGGTGAACAAGATAGACATGGTCCTGCCTTTGAACTCCGGGATCTACTGGAGGGGACTAGTAGGATTACAACATGGCACTTTTGTGAAGGAGGATGTTAGAGTACATCAGGGATCCTGACTGGGTCTGGGGGTGGGGTGGGGTTTTCTGAATGCTTCTCTGAATTAGTGGTTAAGATGAGAAGACTGGTTAAGGGAAAGTGGTAAGGGGAGGGCATGTGCATTCTAGGAACTTCGATGTCATTGTGGTAAGGGAGGCACGGGCAGTCTGGTGGGAGCACGGGCTTCTGAATCTGTCAGTTTGGGCAGCCTTTCTTTTCTTGGAAACAGTCAAGCCAGTTGGCATTCCCATTTTGCAGATGAAGACATTGAGGCTCAGAGAGGCGAAATGACTGGCTCAGGACCTCACAGCCAGTAAGAGGCAGAGCAGGATTTGTACCTGATGTGATTTCAGGGCCCCACTGCCCACCATCACTTTCATATTCTGTCACCAAAGGAGTTCCACCACAGGGCCTTGCTTTTTAAAAAACAAGCATTTCTTGAATTTTCTCTTCATTCCTGACTTTCATTTTGGTTCTTAAGGAAAAAACTAACACATTGAGTGCTGACCTCATGCCAGATGTCACATTAAGCTGGTCATATTCATTGACTTGTTTAATCATCTCAGTGGTGAGGGTATCATGGCCATTTTGAAGGTGAGGGAATTAGGAAGGGAAGTAACTCCCAAGGTCACACAGTTGCAAGTAGCAGGCAGGAGTAGTACCCAGTGTTCTGCATCCCAGCCCCCTGTTCTTCTCTGAGGAGTAGGAGCAGGGGGTGGGGGGCCATCAGGATTCCGCAGTACTGGGACTCCTAAGCTGCTGGCTCTGGTTGCAACTCTGCTGGTCTCCCTCCTCCAGTCGGACCCTTTGGGGCTGAATGCGACCCCACTGCCCCAAGACTCAAGCTTGGTGGAAACTCCTCCAGCTGAGAACAAGTCCCGAAAGCGGCAGCTCTCAGAAGAGCAGCCAAGCGGCAATGGTGTGAAGAAGCCCAAGGTGAGTGTCTGCAGCTTCCTGGTAGGCAGCTAGCAGGTTCCCTGCAAGGGCTGGGCCTGTCAGGTTAGCCAGGAGGGGAGCCCAGTGCACAGCTCCCCAGTGTACACAGCGCTGGAGCCATCGGCCAACTCTTCTAACTTGATGCCTTTGACTCTTTTGCTCCAGATCGAAATCCCTGTGACACCCACAGGTCCATCGGTGCCCAGTTCCCCCAGCATCCCAGGAACCCCAACACTGAAGATTTGGGGAACATCCCCTGAAGATAAACAGCAGGCAGCTCTCCTCCGACCCACTGAGTGAGTCCTTGTTGATTGGCTTGGGGGCACCCATTGTTGGTGCCTGGGACTGAGGTTGTGGTGACGGCAGGGTGCCCTTCCTCCCTTTTCTCTACTTTCCTCATTGCTCCTCTCCATCCCCCAAGGGTGTACTGGGATCTAGATATCCAGACCAACGCTGTCATCAAGCACCGGGGCCCTTCAGAGGTGCTGCCCCCGCATCCTGAGGTGGAGCTGCTCCGCTCCCAGCTCATCCTGAAGCTTCGGCAGCACTACCGGGAGCTGTGCCAGCAGCGAGAAGGTAGCTGTCTCCTGGGCCACGGCCTCCTTTGTTTTCATCCACCCTTAGCAGGAGCAGGGGTTGGCCAGTTGGGCCTGGGGATGGCACTCGAGCCCAGTGGTCGAGAGCATGCGCTGTAGGGGGACAGACCTGTTGGAGTCCGTTCCACTAAGTGCTGGTTCTGTGACCTTGGGCTCATCACTTAGCCTCTCTGCACTTGGGTTCCATCATCTGTAAGATAGGGACAATAACAGTGCCTACATAAAGGGTGGCTGAGGTCAGTAACAAAGCAAGAAACAATTATTAACACTTGCAGAATGCTTACTATTTGCCAGGCACTGTTCAGAGCCTTTTTATGATCTGTAAAAGCGCATAAAAAAGAGTAACTGTACCTCACAGGATTACTGTAAGGAGTAAGTGGAATGGAAAGTGCGCAATAAATGGTAGTTTTAATTAGTAAATAAATCTGCCTAAGTTTGCTGAAATATAGAAATCCCCCCCCCCACTTTCTTACCTTATGTAACACTTATTAACATACTTTAAAAAACTAGTGATTGTCAGGTGTTGCTTAGAATGGAAGCCCCTGACAATAATAACAGTCATGTCTTATTTCCTGTTGCACCTCCAATGCCCACACAATGCCTCCTGAATTCAGACCATCATCAGTCTTCCTGTTCTGCAGGCATTGAGCCCCCTCGGGAATCTTTCAACCGCTGGATGCTGGAACGCAAGGTCGTGGACAAAGGCTCTGACCCCATGTTGCCAAGCAACTGTGAGCCAGTTGTGTCGCCTTCCATGTTTCGTGAAATCATGAATGACATTCCCATCAGGTATAGCCCCACAGCTGAGGATGACCCAGGGCTATTTAGTTTGTGCCCAGTTCTGTATAGAAGGGCTCTAACTCTGTCCACTCTCTAATCTAGGTTATCCCGAATCAAGTTCCGGGAGGAAGCCAAGCGCCTGCTTTTTAAATACGCAGAGGCGGCCAGGCGGCTCATCGAGTCCAGGTTTGGCTCTCCCCTGCCCCCAGCAGGATGGGTCTGTGATGGGGGGCTGGTTTCACAGGCCATTGGCTCACACTCAACAGCACTGTCATTGCTTTTGGTGGCAGAAGTGGGGTTAGCTCCTAAAGGCAAAAGAAAGGCTGTGATGTAAGTCCAGGAGTTGATGGCTGAATGCTGGTGGAAGTGGGATGAGAGGAGTAAGGAGGTTGGAGCAGACACTTAACCGCTGGTCCCCCATGTGCCCCCTGGCAGGAGTGCATCCCCTGACAGCAGGAAGGTGGTCAAGTGGAACGTGGAGGACACCTTCAGCTGGCTGCGGAAGGACCACTCAGCCTCCAAGGAGGACTACATGGTGAGTGGCCCTGGGTAAGGTCAGTGGAAAGGCTCTGTGGCCACTTCCTCCCAGAAGCCCACTCTGCCTGCCCAGGCTGGGCAGGGCCTCACAGCAACCTGCTCAGCAGACCTTTGACACTCATCAGGCCCCAAACTCATGTGAATGGAAATGTTTGTCTAGGCTCCTGGCTTTTTCCCAAAGAACATTTCCGTTAAGATTCTTAATGGAATTCTGTGCTTGGCTACCATCAGTGGCTGCCTTTTCAACTTAATGAATAATCGACATCTTTTGGAAACAGACTGACAAACTGTCTTTTCTTGGATGTGTGTGTTCATATATTTAAGAGCTACCACAAGATTCAATTCAACTCCCTACTTTAATGTGTCCAAAACATTTTTTTTTCCTGGCCCAAACCCATCTCTTCTTTAATTCTCCATCAGCACTAGCAATGGGCTCTCTTTTCAGGACTATTTTTCACAAGAGACAAGGTTTCGCACTTCACGATAGTAACTGTGTACTTGACACGTAGAGATTGACAAAGGTAGGTGTGTGCTCAGTAGCCAGAGTGACTCATTTTCACTCATCCGACTTTCACATGTGACTCAGCAAAATTACAAATGCCCACAATTATTCTTGCAAGTTATTAAAAGCTCAGATTTCAAATCTACAATAATCAAGGAAGGATCCCATTTTATAACGTTCTTTCTCCCCAATAGACTACAAATGCTTTGTAAACAGGGACTATACCCAGTTGTCTGTTTCCCTACCAAGTAGCATGGGATCTGGCACAGTGTAACCCCAACATTAAATTATGGCATTTATTGGACACTTGCTATATGCCAGGGGCTTGTTAAGCCCTTAACAGGAATGACCATATTTAATATTCCAACTGCCTTGCTCGGTAAGTATTTCACGTACCCTTAACAGTGAGACATAAGATTCCGAGACCTAATGACACAGCTAATAAGTAGCAGAGCCTGTTTCTAAATGAGGACGGCTGCAATCCAGCAGCCCTCCCCTGCCTGCCAGCTCACTAGAGCCCTGTCTCCTCCAGGATCGCCTGGAACATCTGCGCAAACAGTGTGGCCCCCATGTCTCGGCCGCGGCCAAGGACTCCGTGGAAGGCATCTGCAGTAAGATCTACCACATCTCCCTGGATTATGTCAAACGGATCCGAGAGAAGCACCTTGCCATCCTCAAGGAAAACAACATCCCAGGTAGGAAGCCAGGTGGAAGGGACCGTATCCATCAGCTCTATCCTAGGCCCTGATTGAAGGGACAAGTGAGACAGCCCTCAAGGCATAACTGGTTTGGGGTGGCTCATTCCTCCAGCAGGGTCTGGGACATGACCTGCAGTGTCCTTTGGCCAGGGTTCTCAGCACTCTTCTAGGAAACGGGGAAGTAATGAGAAGTGGGAGAGAAAGACAGGCAGGGGCTAACTAGTTAGTTGGACCTTTGTTCAACTCTGTAAGCCCGTTTTCTCAAACTGAGGTATAATACCTGGCCAGTAGGATCATGTGAGGATTCAGTGGTAACTTAAAGTGGTTGGCCCCCTAAGACCCCTAAGTGAGGTACTGTAACTATTGTGATGAGGGTGATGCAGTTCTACTTCTGCATGGCATCTGAGCCTGCTTGCCTGCCAGGCCCCAAGGCATGGCACACTGGGGGCCTGCGTCGTCAGTACAGTACAGAGCACATTGACACAGGCCACCAGTGCTTGCCCCTACTAATCACCTGGCTGTGTCCTTTGTTACTGAACCGTCGGAGCTGCACTTACTCCTCCGTGGGGTGGGATGTACCTCCCTTGGTCACTGGGATGGGGTGGGCAGCCCCTGGCACACTGGACATAGGTTGTCCAGGGTGGCCCCTCATTGCTCTCCCCGTCCACAGAGGAGGTGGAGGCCCCAGAGGTGGAGCCCCGCCTGGTATACTGCTACCCAGTACGGCTAGCTGTGTCTGCGCCCCCCATGCCTAGTGTGGAGATGCATATAGAGAATAATGTGGTCTGCATCCGGTATAAGGGAGAGATGGTCAAGGTCAGCCGCAACTACTTCAGTAAGCTGGTAAGAGCTGGGGGAAGGGGAGGCGGGTCTCCACAGGTGGGAGAAGGGAGGGCTGGATCAGAGTCCTCAGCAAGAGGCCAGTGACAAGGGAGGCACCTGCGCTCAATTAAAGCCCCCTGCTTTGTCCCACAGTGGCTCCTTTACCGCTATAGCTGCATTGATGACTCTGCCTTTGAGAAGTTCCTGCCCCGAGTCTGGTGTCTGCTCCGACGGTACCAGGTATAGGTCTGGGGTAGCAGGGGAGGGCTCCTCTGGACGGGGAGACCGAGCGCCAGATGCTGACTGTGACCACTCTGCAGATGATGTTTGGCGTGGGCCTCTACGAGGGGACAGGCCTGCAGGGATCGCTGCCAGTGCACGTCTTCGAGGCCCTCCACCGACTCTTCAGTGTCAGCTTTGAGTGTTTTGCCTCACCCCTCAACTGCTACTTCCGCCAGTACTGCTCTGCCTTCCCCGACACAGATGGCTATTTTGGCTCCCGCGGGTGAGAGCCAGGGACTGCTGGGCCCCTCCTGCCCAGGCCTGGGAAACTGTCAGTCACAGTGCAGATCCCACCTTGGTTAGCTGCTTTCTAAATGCTTTGAAGTCAGGCAATCTCGGGGTAGTCCCTGCCTTCACCACACCAGATATGTGACCTTGGACATATCCCTGAACCTCTGGGAGCCTATTAACCCCCTACCCCCAACCAAGCCTGTGGGTTTCTTAGCCAATTAGCCCATATTTGGATACTGGGAGGAAAGAGAAATGGTGATACTGAGCTCAGAAGCCTTCAGACTAATTGGGGGGTGGGGGTGGGGTGGTGGTGAACAGATAGGAGATGATGTCTCCAGCAGGAAGACAGGGCCATGCCAGCAATAGGGAAAGCTCAGCAGCTAGGGAATTCCTGGGTGTGGTGCGTGCTCTGGTGGCAGTGGGGTCAGAGCTGGATTTGAGCTCCAGCTCCTCCACTAATCAGCTTGGTGGACTTGGGTCACCAAACCTGAGCCTCTGTTCTCATATGTTCAATGGATATGGCCACATCTTGCCCCAGGACGAATTAAGGACGAATGTTGGCCTCTGGCCTCATCAGGGCCATCTCTTCAATGTGGCTGCCTAAGTGTGGGGGCAGCACCTGTTTCTGGCTGAGGGACTGGGACTTAGAATGCTCACCTCTGTCCCCAGGCCCTGCCTGGACTTCTCCCCGCTGAGTGGTTCCTTTGAGGCCAACCCTCCATTCTGCGAGGAGCTCATGGATGCCATGGTCTCTCACTTCGAGGTGGGTATGCTGTTCGGGGGTGGGGGATGGCAAGCAAGATTGCCAGCACTTGGAGGGCAGCCTCTGACATCCACCCCATGCCACCTCCCACAGAAACTTCTTGAGAGCTCACCGGAGCCCCTGTCCTTCATCGTGTTCATCCCTGAGTGGCGGGAACCCCCAACACCGGCGCTCACCCGCATGGAGCAGAGCCGCTTCAAACGCCACCAGCTGGTCCTGCCCGCCTTTGAGCATGAGTACCGCAGTGGGTCCCAACACGTCTGCAAGAAGTGGGTTTCCAGGGAGGGCTGGGGGAGAAGGCTGGGTTGATTGGGCCAGCAGAGCCCTACCATGAGCTGCTGCCTCTGCCCACAGGGAAGAAATGCACTACAAGGTGGTCCACAACACAGCCGTGCTCTTCCTGCAGAACGACCCTGGCTTTGCCAAGTGGGGGCCAACTGCCGAGAAGCTGCAGGAGCTGAGCACCGCCTACCGGCAGTCAGGCCGCAGCCATGGCTCCAGCTCTTCCTCCTCCTCCTCCTCGGAGGCTAAGGACCGGGACTCAGGCCGAGAGCAGGGCCCTAGCCGCGAGTCCCACCCCACCTAACACATCTTGCGGGGAGGAGGAGCCCCAGGGTGCTAGTATGGACTGGGACTCGGCTCTTGGGCTGCCAATGACATAGGAAGATTATGGCTCTGCCAAGGCTCCCCCTCCCTGCCCCCCTGCCCAACTTCCCACCTCAAACTCCAAGTCCCCTGTAAATAGGCCCCATACCTCTCCCCACCTTCTGTGCCACCTTGTTTCATTTGTAAAAGTAAATATAGAAACCCTCCGGTAAGAACGAGTGAGGGTTTTGAGGGCAGAGAAAGCTGAGGAACCTGGAGCCTTCTGGGATCACACCTCTGTACGTCCAGGTTCACCTCATGACCCCTGGGCCTTAACACCCCACCCCAGGGCTCCAGTGTCTAACTCCTCACCCTGTTGTCCCCACAACTGGGGCCCTGGTGGCCTCAGCCTGTGCCCAGCAGGTCTGGAGTCCAGAGCCCTGCACCATCTATCTGGTAAGTCCCTAACTCCCAGAATTGAGCCTGTGCTAATCTATGTGGGGAGCTGAGGGCTGGCAGCTATGCCCAGGTAGAAAGTTAGACCTCTGCTGGCCTTGGAACCACCACAGTATGTGGGCAGCCAGGTGTGTTTTACACTCAAGTCAAGGTTCCGGAGGAAACATAGCTCAGAGCCATACAGGCTGCTCCTGGGGGCCCTCACGGGCTGTGTGGGGCCACTGTACTTACAGAGGCCAGGCTGGACGCACTGCAGGCTAGGCTGCCTCCACCTCAGTCCCCACTTGTGGCTGTAACAGGCTCCACCTTTCCTTCTCCCCAAGTCCTTGCCTGCTTCAGGCTGTAGTAGCAAGTGGACAAAGTGAGCCAGCTAGGGCTGGACTCTGGTCCCTTTATTGAGAGTAAGGCCAGTGGGTCCATCCAAACAAAAATAAATTTCTTTCCCAAAGCCTGCCTGCAGGCTGGGGCAACCAGCATGTCCTGGCTGGTGCCCATAGCTGCCCCACCCCAACCCCCATAGCACAGGTCTGGCTCCCTTGGAGTGACAGGATGCTGGCTGCTCAGTATCTGGAGATCCTAGGTGGAGCAGGGAGGTGAGTCCTGGTGGAGTCCCTCCACCCCCAACAGGGCTAGCCCCAATATCCATGGTCTGTGTTGTGCCCCTGGGGCTTAGTCATCGGTCAGGGTGATGACGTCGTACTCGATGCCCTGGTGTTGCAGCTGTTGGATGTGTTCGGGCACTGTCTCCTCTGTGCCAAACAGGCCCTGGGCTTGGGCCATGGCAGCATCAGCCACCGCTGCCAGGGGAGGGGAAAGGATGGTGAGCTGAGGCCCCAGAAGCTAGGCCCGGGCCCCATGGTCTTCAGGGTCCAGCACCATACCTGTGACAGCTGAGTGTGCTGCAGCCTCTAGCTGGGCCTGTGTGACGAGCTGCTGGCTTGGGGACACAGGCACATACTGGATCTGGAGGGGAGAAGCCAATGAGATGTGGCCTTGGAAGAGCCCTACCCATGCCCCAACTTCACCTGGTTCCCCAAGGGCCCTACCTGGGACTCCTGAAGGAATGGAGCTCCTTGTTCGTACTGGATGTGTGTGATCTGGCCCTCCTGTACCTGGAGAGAGGAAGCCAACCTGGTGATCCTAGAAGGAGGTTGTCCATCCTCCTCACATCCCTCTCTCACCCTAGGCATGGCCTACCTGGATGTGATGACCCTCTGGGACCACAACATATTCCTGAGGGAGCAGGTGCTGAACTCCGTCCTGAGAAATGATGTATTGTACCTGAAAGGTGGACAGGAGGCAGGTGCTAGGGCCCTGCTCATCAGGAGCTCAGTGAGGATGGTACAGCAGGGGGCCAGGGACACCATTGGCAGTTGCAAACACTCATCCTGGGAAGGGTGGTTTTGGAAAGTATTGCTTCTCCCCAATGTGGGGTCTGGCGAGGGGCACTCACAGCGGAGGTGTTCAGCAGTAGCTCACCTGGTTGTCGGAGGTCACTAGATGCTGTACCGTCTGGCCATCTGCTGTGGTGATCTCTTGTATGTAAGTGGCTTCCTCCTGCCACAGCCAAGCCAGCTCTAGCCTCAGCTCTCCATGTGCCCCACCCCTCCCCTTGACCTGCAGGCAGGGCCCCCAGTGCAGGCTCTCACCTGATTGGTCACTGTCTGCTCCTGGGCCACGATGATGTGTTCCTGGCCCAGTGCCTGCTGTAGCTGCTCTGGGCCCAGGACCCCATGACTGGACTGGAGTGCGGCTGGGCAGAGAGGGGAGGATGTTCCACTCAGGGGCTCCAGGGAAGTCTGAAATGCCCTGGCCCCACCATGGCCCAAGGGTGCTTTCTAGGGCAGTGGCTCAAGTCCCTGGTCTACCCTGGGTCCCCTGGGGCAGCTCACTGTGCAGTGTGGCCAGTGTCTCGTCATCACTGTTCAGGATGATGGTCTGGGTGGGGGTCCCAGCTGGGGCCCGGGCAGTAGGGGTCCCTGCCTTTCTCCCATCAGGACTATGTAGCCGCTGGATGTGGAACTTGAGGTGCCCGTTCCGGTTAAAACTGCAGGGGAAGGACGAAGGCTCAGGGGTGGCCCTACCATGCATGCCCAGCAGCCCCAGCCTATCTATACCCAGCCTCACCGCTGCCCGCAGAGGTGGCATGAAAAAGGCTTCTCGTTGGTGTGGGTCAGCATGTGCCGCCGCAGGTCCTTCTTGTTTTTGGAGGCAAAGCTGCACTGGCTGCACTGGTGGGGCCGCAGGCTTGAGTGCTGCACCATGTGGGCCTGCGGAAGGGGCAGAGTAGGGGCATCAGCTGGGTCCAGACAGAGCTTCCACAGATAGCAGTCAGGGAACCTATCCTCTGAGGTGGATCTGGGAGGAACTGGATAAAGAGTACAAACCAGACCGAGATTTGATGCTGTGTACTGGGGAAGCCAGAGGCTCTGTCATTAGGTCACTGTGAAAATCCTGCCCCTGCTCTCAGACTCAGCTTATCCCTAAGGGTACAGGTACGGATGAAGGGACCTCTGACCATCTCTCCCAGCCCTGACATTCTAGGGCCCTGGGCCCTGCTCCCCTCACTGAGGTAGTGTGAGGATTCAGTGTATGGTTGGATCTGAAAACGAAATCCTTGGGTGAAGAGATTTTTGGGAGGGAGGCCCCCAAACTGGATCATGAACCTGCCCCAGAACGTCCCTTGAACTCAACCCTCCGTATTTTAAATGACTCGAATTTCCCTAAGCATGACGCATGCGGGCACACCTCCTCCATGACATCTCCTAGCATCCCAAGTCCCCAGGACACGTGCATCGTTCACTCTGGGGACACTGTCAGGCATCGGTCATGTCTGGTCTCCCCCCAGACTGAGCAGCCTGAGAAACTTGCTGAGTTATCTCTGACTAGAGAGGGCTGGCTCGAGGGGGTGCTCAGTCAAGGTTTGTGACAACAGAGGCACAGGGAGCAGCACCTACCCGGACCTCAGGCCATTGGCGGGCGCTGAAAGGGCAGTCTGGGCACTTGAAGGCACTCGGCCCGGCATGGGCCCGTTTGTGACTCTCCATCTCAGCTCGGCCATAGAAGGCCTCGGCACAGATCTTGCAGGAAAACTTCTTTGACGCTGCAGATGGTGGGGAAGGGGGCACTACCAGGCCCAGGGCTTTACTAGTTGTAGGAGGTGGGGAGGCAGAGCCCTGGGGGTCTTCTACCGGGTGGGTTCTGGCTGGAGATGAGGGCTCAGGGTCGTCTCTGGGTGGCCCCCCACACTGCAGCAGAGGCCACTTGGCTCCAGAGGCCAGAGCATCAGAACTTGGGAAGGAGATGGAGCCATCTGCAGTTAGCTGTGGAGACGGGAGCATGAGGCACTGAGGGAGGGAGAGATGGGAAAGGAAATGGGGCGTGGTGAGCTACCCAGCCTCACCTCGATATGATGCAGTTGGGTCCCATCGGCTGCCATGATGTAGTGGGTGCCAGCTTCTTTCAGGGTGTCACTCACAACCACAGCCTGGGCTGCCTCCCCTGGGGGCTCCTCACTGTGGGCAGAGAGGAGGGGAGCGGTGAGTCAGGGTACTAGGAGGGGATAGAGGGCCCCAACAAAGTCATCAACCGAGGGGTGACTGCACCACAGATGGACCTCTGGATTAAATCCTGGCTCCGCCCTTTGCCAGCCGAACCTCTATTGTCTCTTCTGTCATTTGTGCCATGTGCGGAGTACTGTCTTGCTCACCACTGGTAATCCTGCCCCTTGATGGGCATGGTGGGGAGTGGGGGGTGGATGGCCTGAGGGTTCCAGCCTAAATCTGGTCTAGTTGGAGAGGCGGGGCTGACAGGGACCCACAGCCCAAGAGTAGAGGGCAGATGCTGAGACAACTGCCCAGGTGCAGGCCTAGCCATCCAGACTCCCATCCCAACTACACAGTTTGGTGCTTGGATCCAGGGCTTCCTCAGATTGCCCAGGGCAGGGTCCTCAAACTACGGCCCGCGGGCCACATGCGGCCCGCCAAAAACATTTATCCGGCCTGCCGCTGCTGCCTGTTGCTTAGCAGCCGACTAGTTTTTTTTTTTAAACTATAGTCCGGCCCTCCAACGGTCTGAGGGACAGTGAACTGAAACTACGGCCGGGCCACATGCGGCCCGCCAAAAACATTTATCCGGCCTGCCGCTGCTGCCTGTTGCTTAGCAGCCGACTAGTTTTTTTTTTTAAACTATAGTCCGGCCCTCCAACGGTCTGAGGGACAGTGAACTGGCCCCGTTTAAAAAGTTTGAGGACCCCTGGCCCAGGGGTTTGGTCAACATATGAGATAGAAACATTTCTGCCCCCAATTCGCTCAATGTGGAAGAAGCCAAGAGCAGATGCCAGGCCTCCAATGCCAGCAAGGGGCCTGAGTTCATTCCAAAGGTCAGAACTGGAAAATACCTTCAGGAATCGTCCAGAACAAAGAGCACAAGGACTTTGGAACCAAAGGGAGCAGGGCTAAAATCCTCACCTATGTGGCTGACCTTAGGAGAGTTAAACCTCCTTAGCCTGTTTCCTCATTGTAAAACGAGGGAAATGTGGATTTCACAGGAATGGTGTATAGTTGAGTTCACAAATTTCAAGTGCCTGGAACATCTAAGCAGCCAAGAGATCACTTCTGACCTCCTGAGAAAGATACGACTCCCCTATGGTCCAATCACTTTATGTATGCACTAGAGGCCCAGTGCATGAATCTGTGCATGGGTGGGGTCCGGCCGGCGATTGGGGCGGATCCAGCGGGCGATAGTGGGAGGTTGGCCAGCCGGCCCACCCACCCTGATCAGTGCCCAATCAAGGCTGGGCTGGCCAGCGGGGAGGGGCCGTGGGCAATTGGCCTACAGGCCCTGCCCCTGATTGGGGTGGGGCAGCCAATTGGGGATGGGCAGGCCATGGGGAGGGGCTATGGGCTGGCGGGCCTCACCCCCAATTGGTGTGGGGGGCCGATCAGGGCGGGGCTAGCCTGGGGGAGGGGCCACAGGCTGATAGGGGTGGTGGG